ACCGATCACCGCCCACGGAACGGTACGGTACGGTACGATACGATACGATACGGTACGACGGCACGACGATCTGGTGCGGCGCTCTCTCGCGCGGCTGGACCTCTCCTCCTTCTCTGCCACTACTGCCAGAGATAGAGAAAGAGAGAGAGAGAGAGAGAGAGAGAGAGAGAAACAGAGTGTGAGAGAGAAAGAACGAGAAAAGAGCGAAAAGACCTGTCTCTGATTAGCCGCAATAAAGTAGGTTTTCCGTCAACACGGTCTCTTTCTCGCGTATAGACTGACCACGGCGCACCTCCTCAACCAAAGGATGTTGCCACGAAGGTGGTCATGATAACAATCGTCAACGTATTATACATCACTCCTTTACCACCGTTCCTCGGTCGACATCGGTCGACATAACTCGGACCGCGAGCCGACTGCGCAGCCGCGCCTCCGCAGCGGCGACGTCGGAAACATATGTGCGCTACTTCCGGCCGAATGTCAAAACGATCCGTTGGCTGGTTGGCTAGCGCGTCCGCCGGCTAACGTGACACTCTACAGTTCCTGTTTTAATTATTATTACGGGAATTATATTATTGTATAACTATAGGAGTTATATTATTGTCACAGAAACTTATATTATTACAATTAATTATTAAACACTACCGTGGCGCCTCCGCCGTTCGTTCATGCATGTGCGCTAAGGATTAAGTACAATTAGTACAAAAGATCGCGTTCAGATAACAATTTTTCCTGGCGTTGCGGAAACTCGCGGATGAGATTCAAAATCCACGGAAGAACCTGAAAAAACTGCTTCTCTTCCGCGCGAAAGAAAAACTTATTACTCTCCTCGATACGCGGCCTGAAAAACTGCTCGACTGTCGAAAACATCGCCGGCATAGCGTTTCTGTGAGTTACGTCATCGACCACGTGACTCGAGCCGCCCAGCACCCACACGGCGTGACGACACTGACGACTCGCGTTCTGTTGCTGCGACGCAAAACGTGGCACTTGGAGCGCTCGCTCAATTTTGATTCGGAGTCTCCGAACTCTACAGTTGACTCTTCAATATATTTCCCTCTTGATCGTCTTGTACGTTGATGATGCAGAACACGCGTATTAAAATATGTCATCTCTTTAATTTCGGCAGAGTGGAAAAACGAGCAATTCGTAAAACGCAACGAGTTAACGGACGCGAAAGCCGGCGACTCTCGATCGACTGTCTACTTCGTTTGTCTGTTTCGATCATCTCGATATTTTTCGTTTATCTCGATCTCACTGGCGCAGAAGCGCAGATCCCGATGATTGACGGCTTGACATTTCCGTGAGGTTGTTTATTGCGTTAGTTAGAATTGAAACAATTATTTTCTTTTCGCTTTTACAACGATCGAGGCCAATTAACAGAACGCAGTTTTCCTTGTAGACATTAAAGATTGTTTTATAGCATTTTATTCGGCTATAATTCTCAGGCTGTTTCATAATTTGATGAAATAATATATTTTATACTCTGTTCGTATAAATTAAACGTGACAATATCATTATCACCGCTACAGCACAAAAGTTGCAGCAACAATGCTGCAACATTGCAGCAATTTGTATGTTGCAGCAATATTGCAGCGTTATTGCAGCGATACTGCAAATTCTGTACTGTATGGGCAGATATTTAATTGTTTAAAATATTTATATGCTTTTATATATTTAATCGCACAAGTAATCACATTTTACGGCCTTTTAGAAATTTCATGCTTAATTTAACTTTGTTAATTTCGTGTATAGTAGCGATTTAGCGATGAGCGATAAGCGACGAGCGATATCCAATGAGAACTCTGCTATGCATCATTAAAAACTAAACTATTTTTATTGGATATCGCTCGTCGCTCACCGTCCATTGCGTCCAGTGTAGTAGACGTTAAAGTAACTGATGTCCCTCTCAACAAACGAGAATGGATTCAGATTTTCAGAAATATTGATTCACGAATGTTAAAATGAATGCTTTTCAATCCTGAATGCATTTTTATTCATTTATAGGAATTGCATGGAGCATATCTCTATACCTTTCAATCTAAAAATAATAATTAGCTTTTTCCGTGCGTTGTGAGTAGTGTTTAATTCAAAATTTTGAATAGGAAATGCAGTTTTGCAATCTAATTGCATCCAATTGAATGTAATTGAATCCAATTGAATCCAATTAAATAAAAAAAAAAAATATTCGCTATTTGAAATACGCGCATTCGGATAGAAAAAAATTTCAATCCATTTTAATCCATTCTCGTTTGCTGGGCTATTTAATGTGCTTTTGTATTTCGATAAGTCATAAAGAAAACTTGCACAAATAAATAAGAAAAAATATTTTTTTTGTTAAATTATTAATGCATACACACACGATACCGAAGATAATATTTTATTTTTTTGGTATTATAGTATTTTAAATATTTTTCGAAAGATATGAGGAATTTATGAATTTATGTGAGTCCAGCAATACGCAAGATTTTAAGCTTGTCCCTATTAATGTGTCCTGTATTGGAGCTGAGAACGTTGTGTTATGAGTGTACTTTGAAATAAATATAATTAAAATAATGATTTATGTAATATTAACATAAACAATTAGCTTAAATTTATTACCTGTTTTAGTAACTATGTGTTAAAATGAGTCAAACGTGGATAGGCACACAAATTGGAGGCACATTAATAGAACCATCGCTTAGAGGATTCACTAATAGGGATAAAAAAATGTTTTCTATCTTTGTCAAAAGTATTATGAAGTATTAACATTTTTTAAAGAAATATTATAAGAAAAAGAAGTAGTTGAAAAACCGATAATTGATTGCAAGCAAATAAAATTAAAGCTACAATATTTAATAATTAATTCAGTAATAAGCAAATTGGTTAAAAGGCACGTTAATAAGGACAGTTATTCAAGTTTGGCTATAAAAAAATAATAAACCTGTGAAAACGTAACTGACAATCAAACGACGTCTGCTATACCTGCGCCGTTTGTGTGCGCACAAATATATAGTTGTTTATAGCCTCGCAAGTGCTCTCAAGTGCCCGCGAGCAAATAATCACGAACGGCCAGCAACGATCCGATTCAGAATTCGCGAGAAAACAGTGAGATATTTGCCCTCAGAGAGGCTTTTCGTTGAAAAGAGCAGAAAAAAGAGCTTCTAAATACGAATAGAGTAGAATAGACTGGAGTCGACAAGTGGATGAGAGTGATCGCTAACAACACGATTTTGAGATCTCGATTGACAAGTATCGTACATTACATTTTGTCAGTTATCGCATGACATTCGAATTTCTGGGTATACCGCTATTTGGCTAACTTGGCGTCATTCGCTCAATCGAGACACGTAAGTTTGATATTCATTAAATTGTATTATAATATTCTGTTATATCGAATTTGGTTACTTACGTTACACTAGATTAGTGCATGTAAAAATTGCTGTACATGTATTAAATTAGCAAAACTAAATGTAAAGGGTAGGGGGAGGGGGAGGGTATAAATATTTTAAACTATTTAAATGTCCAACGACGACACTGGATGCTTTTTCCACAAGAAGCACAAATAACACAGTGTATCACAATGAACTGTCACTTTGGCTGTCTTTTTTCTAGACAAACCATGTCCATTTCTATCAAAATATAGACTAACTTTAATCTCGGTTTAACTTATTTTTTATCTTTTCCTGATTTTTAAAACAAGAGAAAAAGTGAGTTGAACCAAGATTAAAGTTAATCTACACGGATAGAAGTGGACAATTGACAGTCGACATAGGATGCTTTCCATTTGGTTATATAAGTCGACATGACACAAGTACCATTCTGTTTTTGTTATTTATGGAATGTCAAGAAAGATAAAAACGACATTTGTATCAACTTCTGTCACAAATCATCACAAATGGAATGCATCCATAAACGTCATTCTATTCTTCTTGCATTCAATATATTGTATAACAGAAATGAAACGCACTTGCATCCATCTAATGTTTGCTTAACATTGATAAATGAACAAAGAATAATGGATGTTTTCCAGTAAGAGATACAATATAATAGTGGCATAATATAATAATGAATTTTTATTGTTATATTCCTTATTGCCAATGTTAAACAAAGATGAAATAATTCACTGTAATATCTATGGGTGCTCCCCATTTGGTGATACAAGTCATCAAAAATGTCATCTTTCTTGGTATTCTACGAATAACAAAATCAAAACGATACTTAATAAATATTCAGAAGTACAACCTCGTCAAAAAACCACAGTTTTTTTCAGTAATTATCAAAATTACTTATAAAAAGACATGTACGCAATGTTTTAAAAAGGGACATATGATTCTTGTGAGAAAAATGATAATGATAAAAAACGATAAAATCGATAATAGTACAGCATATATTTAAAATTTTAAATATCAATTTTATGTTGATTAAATATCGTTCTCAATCGTTACCTAAATCTTCCGTCTTACTAAATTGATGAGTCTGATACATTTAAAATGGAAATTTACGAAGCGATTAGCAAAGACTCCGATAAATGTTTAGAAGTACTACTCCATAGTTTTTTCAATAATTAGCACTAGTTATAAAAGGACATGTGTACAATTTTATTTTAAGAAGGAACTTATGCCTCTGCTATAATTTAAATTAATTAAAACAGAGAATTATGTTATATAGATATATAATATATAAATTTTATAAATCATGAATTATTCTTTGCTATAATTTAAATTATATAAGAAAATATATGCACTTGTCAAGTTTTTCTCTACAAGAACAATAAGTCCTCTGAAAACATTGTATATGTTTTTTATGATTAGTTTTGTTAATTACTGAAAAAACTACGATTTTTGGTGGGGTAGTACTTCTGAACATAAAGCCGGTTATTATATCTTTAGATAATTTTGGT